GCATTAATATATATATATATATATATATATATATATATTTTTATAACAGTGATTGTAATATGAATACTTTGGGAACTGAACTGAAGAGTTCTAAATTCATCTTACATAGCCAAGAAGCATCCATTGTATGGTAGCAACTTCAGGTTTCTTCCAGTCTGAACTGGATTTGAACTGACAGCGTCAGTGAAGGTTCAGTATCTTGCTCCTCTGCTCTCTGGGGTTTGCAGTGCCAACCTTAAGCTGCTAATATACCCTCTAGCACCTTTAGCAATGACATATGTAGAGCTGTGGTTAGCTAATCAGTTAAAGTGCCTTATTCATCATTGCAAATCTAATTTGGCAGCTTTAAATGTAGTTTAGAATTTTCCATGTGTATCTTCGTAAAGCATTGGACATGAAAACCACATCTTTTTAATTGCAGATGTTCCTCCCAGTTTTTCTCCATTTGTTGAATTCAAGGAAAAATCCCAGCAGTGGAAATTGCTTGGTCAGTAACTTGTTCCCTGCCTTGTTTTTATAATAGTTAAGGTTGGATGTTTTTTCTAGGTGTCATGTTTCAGCTACTTCAGTGTTCAACACCTCCTGTCTTTTTTTAGCCTGCAAGGTTTTTCTTGTCTCATCAGTAAGGTCAGCAGGAGAGATTCGGGTATATTTGGGTAAAGTGGGATATGACAGCTTCCTTAGTGTTGCTGACCTGACTGTCCCTTCTCTTCTTCTCCAGGCTGCTAGAACATCTCATATATTTGCTCTTTTTTCTATTGCCTTACTTCTAAGGAGCACTAAGTATACTGCACACACTGATGAATTAAGCTGCTCTATGAGACAGAACAGTAAAACGGTCTCCATTTTAAAAGGAGAACTGAGACCCCCTCTACATGTGCAGGTAAGGGCACAAAGGGATCTAATGTGTAATCCACACAATCCTGCCTCCTGCATGCCACGCGACTGTGGGATCGCACATTGGATCCTATTGTGCCTTACTGCTGGTTCAGGGAAGCCTGATCCTGGGCTCCCCCTGCATCAACAAGAAATAGGGTCCTGCACCTGGAAGCCCCCTCTGCTGATGGGCTGCCAGCTGTGGGACATCCCACACACTCCCTGGGGTTGGGATATCACAGCAGCGCCCCACATGGGGTGCAGCCAGAACAGAGAGTCCTGTCAGCTGCGGACTCTCCCAACCGTGGGGGTGTGTGAGGTGCTCTGCATCTGGGAGTTCACAGCAGATGTGGTGTCCTAGCTGCTACATGGAACGTCTCAGTGGCTGAGAGATCACAGCTGCTGCAGTCTCCCATCCTGGGGACCATTGCCTACATGTGCAAATTAAACCTAGATAGAAACCAGCTGTAAAGTTATTACACATTTTTGAGCAATGACCTTACAGCTCGTTGGACCTTTTTAAGGCGCCATAGTTAGTTTGCACATGTAGCCAGTCTAAATTTATCATGCAGTTAGCCAGATAATTGTGTAATAGATATAACATATATAGGGGACCTGAGATGCAGATTGATAAGGAGCTTGCCCAATGAGTTAATGGTACAGCTGGCAGCAGAACCCAGGCCTCTTGTATTCTAATTCTGTTTACTTATCTGGCCAAATTTCGTATCTTAACCACAGTAATTCTTGCTCAGATTTGAACTGGGAAGATACTCTTCCAGATCCATGTTTTCAGAATTATGGGAGTGGGGGTGTTACACTCCCTTTTGCTGAGGGATTTGGGTTCACTTGCACCATTCAGCATGCCATCCCTTTCCTGCTCAGACAAAAGCTACAGTTTTAATCCTTTCACAGCTGAATTACTAGCAGTACTTAGCAGCTTTGAAAAGCTGAAACTGTAACTGTTGCTGAAGATTGGACTCCATAGTCAGATTCAGGATTTTGAAAAGAGTTCAAATAGTCGGCAGGGCGGTGAAATAAGAGAACAGTAACTAAATTGCAAATTGCTAAAGAAAGAATAGCTTGATTAGAGGAACATCAAACCATTAAAAAGGAGAGACGTGGATCATTAATACCTGTTGAGTGAAGAGCAATTAACAGGAAAAAAGTAGGTTCTAATGAGCTGTGAAATTAGTTGACTCTCAGTTGGCTGCCTGAGTAGAAATGCCACTGCTGCTATTCTGGACGGAAAATCAGCTTTCATGCTTAAGACACACACCCCAATTTTGGACAGCTAATTTTGTGGGGGATGGTGCATGTGGTATGCAAGTAAATATAGTAATTGAGGTATCTCTGCTGTGATCTAAACAATGAGGGCGGTTTTGGACACTAATGGAAGAACAAGCAGCAGGGTGCTAGTTACAAAAAAGTGACTCCTGTTGCCTCTTTCCTTTGGTCTTTTTGTACCAGGCTCTTCCCAAGACCTTGAGAAGGAATTGGCAGCACTTTTTCAACTCTGGTTGGAGACCAAAGACCAGATGTTTTTCAAGGTGAGGCAGAGAATCCCTTAGTAGTGCTGATCCCAGCTGGTTATGCACCTGTCTGACGTTTCTTTGTTTCTCAATAGGAAAATGAAGACAGTCCAGATGCCACCACACCAGTTCCCAGGGTGTAAGTATATGGTACTGAGGTAGCCAGAAACCGTGGTCTTATGAAAAATGCTACAGTGGTGTTCGATACTCAGGCCTGTGAGCCTAAATCACTATATCTGCAGTAGATATTACTATGTGCACTCCCCTCTGAAGAGCTAGTTACAAAAAAACACCACTTGGCTAGTGGCAGTTACTTAAGCGATAATGAAAAATTCTCCCTCCTCTTTGTCAGCTTACTGCAGATAGCTGCCTCAGAGGTCTTTGAGTCTTTGCTGGCCTTACTGATGACATAAATAAGCCTTGCAGCTCCAGTACAGCCTCAGGAGAGTGAGCTGGATTCTGTCCTATTTTATGCACTACCAGCATCAGTTCATTTCTGATTATGTAATCTTCACTACTAGTGATGATATATTGGTGATAGAAAGAACACAGCTGGGCTTTCAAATCCCAGGTGTAATTAAGTGTTCTGGCCAGATTCCTACTCTGGACATTTACTTTCTGCTTCCCTGAGCTCCCTCTACCATTTTGATTAAATGGGAGGGGTTTTTTGGGTTTGTTTTTTTTTTTTTTTCCCCCCCTAGTGCTGGATTGATTGTTTTGTTATGGCTGTGCATTGTTAACAGAAGCTACATTCCAGTCTAGCAGTGGCAGCATTTTGATGGTCCCATATTACGGATACACAGTGTGTGAAAAGATGCTCATAGAAATGTGTAAGAGCTTTCTGTATTCTGATAAATCTACCTCACAGGGAGATTCAAATATCCCCATGTTATAGAAACATAAATCATAGTTAGTAGGGTCGGAAGGGACCTGAGCAGATAATCAAGTCCGACCCCATGCCATGGCAGGAAAGGGTACTGGGGTCAGACGACCCCAGCAAGGTGTTAGCCTCCTCTTAAAGACCCCCACGGTAGGAGCCAGCACCACTTCTCTTGGAAGTTGGTTCCAGATCCTAGCTGCCCTGACAGTGAAGTAGCGCCTCGTGATATCTAGCCTAAATCTACCCTCTGCCAGCTTGTCTCCATTATTTCTTGTCACTCCTGGGAGTGCTCAGGGGAACAGGGACTCCCCCAGTGCCTGCTGATCCCCCCTGACTAGTTTGTAAACGGCCACTAGATCCCCCCTCAGCCTTCTCTTGTGCAGGCTGAACAGGTTCAGGTCCCTTAGCCTTTCCTCATAGGGCCTGCCCTGCTGCCCCCGATCAGATCGGGCTGCGGAGAGACAAAGTGACTTTTCCGAGAGTTATCCAGATGGAATAAGGGGCAGAAGCCAAGTTTCCTGACTCTCAGTACCATGCTCTAATCTTTAGTTGGCCCCCACCTTTCTCCAGATGCAGTCTAGAGAACACTAAGTTCTGTAAAGAGCATTTCATCCTTATAAATGTAAGTTCATTAAGAATCAGTTTCTTCTCATGTAGATACATTTGCAGAGAGGGTGTGAGGAGTTGGTCGTATATGATGTCATTTGGCTGCAGTTTGCCTGTAGTCACTCAGTGCTGATGACTATCTTTGTTTCAGAAGGACTGACTATGTAGTCCGACCCAGCACTGGGGAGGAGAAACGTGTCTTCCAGGAGCAGGTGAGGAGAGAATACTCTTTGTTTTAACATGAATGGCCTGAAAACTGAATTTGCTCAGGGTAAGGTGAATCCATAGCCTGATCTGGAACAGGAATTATTTACTACAAACTTAAGCAAAAAAGTGTTGCTGTAACAAATACACTGCCTTTACATGGCTGCTGCAGTTACTAGCTGAATCATGCTGCACTGAGAACATAGCCTGGCAGTTTCTGCTCCAAATCCAGGAGTGTTATTCCCACAAGGTATAAAAGAGCAAATCTATTCAGATAGTAATGCCAGGATTTGTATCCCCATTGGAGCTTCCAATACTTGAAGGTGACTTAGCCACGTGCACCTGAGCTAGTCTGGACTGAAGCAGCACAAAACAAGTGGTATATGCATGTGCACGCAGACCTGGCAGCATTATTTGTAGCGCTTGTTGGTTCCAGTAAGTCTTTTTCAGCTAGCAGTCCATTTAAGGATTTATGTACTGTGGAGCAGATATTCACCTCTTCTGTATGTGTGCCCACTGATAAGGGCAGGTCTGTGAAAGGCGAGGTATGGATATGGAGATCTTTGCCAAATGACAGTGCAAAGGATTGGGAGGATGTGTTTTATATGTGGACAAGAATCCTCGCTAACCTCTCTTACCTGTTCAGACTACTTTGCTAAAAAGAAACTAAGCTGATGGAATTGCCCTTCCATGTCTGGAGTCTAAATGATTTAAAACTTACGATAGTACCTTAATTTCTGCCATGACTAGTGTACTTCACGCTTAATCTCCTTGACCCTGAAAGGGCTGCGTGCATTAGCGGGCTGAAACGCAGCAAGACTTGTTTTTCTTAAAAATAAGCCTCATGTTAACATGGTGTCCCATATGCTGAGGTCTGGGAAGTGCTCGTAGTTGGGTGCTTCAAAGAGAGGCTTGAGAAACCCTAATGCCCTTCATTGTGTAGCTCTGAATCAGAAGAAATAGCTGATATTTGTTTTAAGCCTTGAAGCATGAGAAATGTCAGTGATTTCATGCTTGCTACAGAGTAAATGTTGGTGTAAAAGTAACTGCCATGCTCATAAGGAGCTAATAAGATGTCTTCACTGTGTAACTTATTCTCCACTGTTCCCCTTTTATTCCCCACTTGCAGGAGCGCTACCGTTACAGCCAGCCCCACAAGGCCTTCACCTTTCGCATGCATGGCTTTGAGTCAGTTGTTGGTCCTGTGAAGGGCGTGTTTGACAAGGAGACCTCATTGAACAAAGCTCGAGAGCATTCTCTCCTGCGATCAGACAGGCCAGCATATGTCACTATCTTGTCCCTTGGTAAGGCAGTAGCACTCTTTGCAATACAACTTTTTATGATACTGTTTAATTGAGATTGCATCACAGGGGGCTTTGCATAGCTAGCTCATAATAGTGGAACGGAATTAGGTGACCTAAGCAAGAAAGAAAAGATGCTTGAAATAAGGTATTAATAGGGTGATTCAGAGAGCTTGTTCCAGATGACAGAAACAGAAGAGACTTGCTTTTCAGCCTGTGTTGATCTGTAAGTAAGAAGTGGGGAGGAGAGTGAAGGAGAGATGCACAGATGTGGAGCCTGGCTAGGAGAAGTGCTCAAAGTATTAGAAAAACAACAAAGGTGCTTTTGAACTGTGTCCTGGTACAATGGTCCTGTGATTGTGCATGTGTGGGACTTGGAGGTGGTTGAAAAGGAAACTGCTAGCCAAGATAGGCAAGGTGAATATGGGACTGGAGTGGGAGTAAACCTAATATTACTCTCATAATCTAATGCTTGCTTTTAGCTCTCTTGAGTAGCATTTTGTCTGGGATTTGTTGGGGGGGGGGGTTGTGCCCATTGAAGAAAAAAGTATGAACTTTACAGATCTTCCATTAGTTTGGAAAGAGCCTGTTGCAGACTAGTGATCCAGGGGGTTTAGCTCATGTCTGAGTGTGCAGTATGTTTTTCGTCACAGCATAATCCGCTTTGGAGGAGAGAGCTATCATTCTTCTGACGGAAGGCCTGTTAGTGTGGTCTGCAGTGCAGGTAAAGCTAGATGAGACTCATGGCTGCCCCCTGGCTGTAACTGAGTTGGAGACAAAGGCTATCAATTTCAGATTTTTATTGTTGAAGTGATCTCTATTCGTTTACTGAGGAAAATTCAGATGGGAGCAAGTAGGAGGATAAGAAGGTATTTTTGCACTTAAATCAATGAATAAGAGGACATGATGATCGTGTCCTAGCTTGGGGTCCTCTCCATTTGTCATAGTGGTCCTCTGTCTTTGGGTACTCTAGTCTGTGGCAGAGCTATGCAGGTGATAGAGCTCAGACTTCTGAGGTCATTTCTCTAACACCCAGGCCAGCAAGTGTTGAAGATGCTGCATATGAATAGTTCTTTATAGTCTGCTCAGTCATAAATATTAATGGGTTCTGGGAAGGTATTCCTGGATAGAGCTTAGTCAGAGGAAGAGCCTTTGAGTTTTCCTCATAGAGCCTAAACTTTCTCTTTTCAGTGCGGGATGCAGCAGCCCGCCTTCCTAATGGAGAAGGAACACGTGCTGAAATCTGTGAACTGCTTAAAGATTCTCAGTTCCTGGCTCCTGATGTCACCAGTGCCCAAGTAAGTTAGACAAAAATAATCCATATAAAGCTCAGCATACTTACACTTCAGAAACAAGTATCCCTCCTACAGCATGCACTGTTCAGAAAAGGCAATATTCAGTGACTCAGTAGCTTGTGGCTCATTGATTTGGAAATGAGATCCGTGTACCGTTTTACTGTTTTACTACAACACTCTTGCCTTGTGCTCTAGAGGACTAAAGCACAGATAGTAGGCTATATGTGTCCCACCGAGTTAATACTGTGGTCTACAGCTTCTCATATTAAGTAGGGGGTCATTGCCTACAGAGACTCCATCTGAATAGCAAGTAACATCCTATATAGTCATTTGCATTTCAAAGGCTGCACCTCCTTATTCAAAAGAAGGTTGCTAACAATTTGTAAGATTCATACTCCTCACCATTTATCAGTATGACCATTGTTGGGCCAAACTTGGGCTCTTTAAGTTATTGTGAGTTTTGACTTTTTATCCAGGTTAATACTGTGGTTAGTGGTGCTCTGGACCGGCTCCATTATGAGAAAGATCCTTGTGTGAAATACGATATTGGACGTAAACTGTGGATATATCTGCACCGGGACAGGAGTGAAGAGGAGTTTGGTAGGTCCTGACCTGTTAATATTGCTGTTTTTACCTTAGTAGAAATTAAAACTTTAAAAAACTCATTTAACTTTCATTTTTCAAGCTGCTTGTTGTGGATGAAGTAACTGATAGTTTTCTTTCCCTCTAGTCACTTTCTGATCCTGATGAAACCATTTCATCCACAGTTAAATTGATCTATGGAATAATATAACAAAATGAAAGGCTTGACTATTGAGTCAGAAAAATTACGTTCCATGCACAAGAAATGTGTGTCCAGACATGTACGCATAACTGATGATTGAGTATTTGATTGTTAGTGCATTTCATGCATATTTCTTACTAATAGTCTTCCTTGTTTCTGGACAGGCTACCAGGTCTTTCAGTTTGCTATATTATGAACTTGATTTGTTACTGACAGTTTCTGATTACAGTGTCTCAAAATGAAGGTACAGTGATGAATGAATGGTGATGTGGCTCTGCTGCATCAGTTTCAGTCTCTGTTCAGGGACTGTAAGTAATTGTTCTTGTTTACAGAGCGGATTCACCAAGCTCAGGCTGCTGCAGCAAAGGCCAAGAAAGCCCTTCAGCAGAAACCTAAACCTGCAGCCAAGACAGTAAGTTGTCTTGTTTAGGGATAGGATGATTTGGGGAATTGAGACTGGGATACAGAGTTATTGGGTCAAATTTAGCTCCTGTCCCTAGTGGTACAGAATAACTGCCATCAACTGGACCTAACATTCATATATACAGAATGAATTGGTGATTCGTAGTCCCAAGAACATGGATGCTAGTCCTCTGGAAACAAAATCACCACCATGACTGGCATTAATTGTCAGCCCTCCTGGTGGTCTCAACTGAAAGGCCATGGAAACTGAACTACGCTCCCTGCCTTGGGTATGGACCTCCACAGCTCGTGTGTGTGTCTGTGTGTGTGACATGCCTTTCTGTTGCCTGTGCTATAGGCCCGTGGATAAATAGGAGACTTGGCTCTCCACAACTCTTGGTCCAGCATTCATTTATTGACATGAAATGAATTAAACAATTTAAAGTGACATTTTCAACTAGTGAATTAGCCAACTAGCAACAACATAAGAATTGCTCTACTGGGTCATACCAATGGTCCATCTACCCCAGTACCTTGTCTCTGAGAGTGGCAGGCATGGCTGTTACAGAGGGAGAACAGGGAGCTCTATCCTGTTTTAAGTACCTGCCTGGCATCCACCATTATTGATTTAGAGCTGACAGAGGAAGCGCCTGCAACTTTTTTGTTCCATAGCTGTTAAGAGGTGGGAGGCTTGGGTTGCATGGCAGACACGAACTCTTTATACATCCACCACTGTAAAAATGCAGTCCCCTCAGAACAGCAGTAGAGAAACTGCCCAAAGCCCCCTGTGCCATAATGGTAGAAAAGAGGATCGTCACCTCTTATTTCAGGGTCCAGCTCTGTGGGTTCATGCATATCTATGTAGAATGTGGTGCTCCAGTTTAAGATTTCCCATGCACAGCAGGTGACCTGGGCTGTTTTCCACAAGAATGCCCACCCTAATTATGATTCTGTTGCAGAAATCTAGCAGTAAGGAGAGCTCTGTGAAAGCGCTCCCCAGCAGCACTTCAGAGCCAGGCCAGCTGAGCCTCAGTGACTCCAGCATGCCACCAACCCCTGTGACTCCTTTGACTCCCACCACGCCAGCATTGCCAGCAACACCCATTTCACCCCCACCAGTTTCTGTGGTTAGCAAGAACGTGCCTAGTGTTGGACCAGAGCCAGCTAAACCCAGCCCAAGGTAACATTTCTTCTTTTACTTTTCCTCTGTCAACAAATAGCAAGTTTATTACCACATGAGCACTTGATTTCTCTCATCTCCTTTCTGCATTAATCTGCTGGCTTTCCATTTGTCCATAGCGTTCTCTTAGTGTCATCCCCTGCCATGCCGCAGCTTGGAACACTTCTTTCCACAGCTCAAAGCGCACAGACACAAGCTGGGCCGCAGCCGCCACCCCCTACCCGGGTGGTAAGCCATACTGCCTCCTCAGGGCTTCCGCAGGTCCGTGTAGTGACTGCACAGTCCAGCCTCCCACCTGCATCTCAGCAAGCCCCTGTGGTAGCACAGCAACCGCAACCTGCATCAGTGCCTCAGATCCGTGTTCCAGCTACAGCCACTCAAACCAAAGTACTGCCACAGGTGAGAGTGGTGATGTGGGAAGCATGGGCCAAGTCTAGTGCCTTTCATCATGATGGATCCTGTAGCATTAGGAGTTACAGGCTGTAAGTGCCCACTTCTAATAGACAGTTGCATCTGGAGTGGAACAAATGAGCTCTGCACAGGTGCTCAGTATTTTTATCTTTCATTTATTTGGCTCCCAGAGTGTAAACAGAACTCAGTCATTGGAAAAAATCCAAAGAACCTGCTGCATAAGACCAAGCAAATGATGGCTAGGAAAGGAAGCTGAGTAGAGGGGTCATTGGGAGAAGGAAGATGATTCCAGGAAGAAGTAGGTTTTAAGAACTGCGTGAAAGATGGCCTTAGTGAAGGCAGTTTGAGGAGGAAGCTGTATAGTAGACAAGGAGTGAAAAAGAAAATCAGAAAATGGAGGAGGAAAAAGAGGGACAAGATTTAAGGCAGTAAGAGAGAAGCCTGTGAAGGGACTCAAGTTAGAGTGTTGATATAATCAGAGTGACCTGCCAGGAAGGTGAGGTTTGTTCCGTCTGGAAATTGCGGAAGTGAGAGGTGGGGAAGCCAGATGGAGGGTAATTACAAAAACCAGTGATAGGTGAGGTTTTGGGGACCAGGAAGGTTCCTCTTGTGACACTTACATAATGCAATAGGACCCTGATCCCTAGGCGTCTTTGGGCACCACAGCAATACAGATAATTACAAAGTTGTGAAGTCACAAAGTGACTGATACCAGCAGCGGAAACTGGGCAAAGGATGCATGTCCTTAATAACAGCAGTGCTCATATTCTGGCCCACTGGTCAGTTCTGGCCACGTTATCTGGTCCATCGGCCTCCCCAGGGGTCTGGATATTTGGCAGTGAGGGAGCAGCGGTGGTGTTAATTGCCATTCCCTTGCTGCCAAATTTCTAGACCTCTGGGGTGTCCTGCAAGCCAGGTGATGTGGCCTGGCATGCAGTGGGGCTAGAGCCCTGGGTCATGCCACAGCCAAATCAAGCACATGAGGTTGAGTTGGTATGCAGACTGGCCCTGCACCCCTCATCTGGCCTACAGGGCCAGAAGATTGAGCCCTCTGCTTTATAGTAAGGAGGAAGAAATAATACGGTGGAGGTAAAAGGGGAGGTAGCAGATTGTAGAGTTGTCTGAAGATAGTGTTTCAAGAGGAAAGATGGTTTGATTTGGGGAACTTTAAAGGTGGCTGGAGGTCTGAGGAAAAGTCAGAGGCATCAGGAAAGTTGGAATGGGGGAACAGCTAATACTGTTTATGTGGGTTACCAGCATTTTGGTCTTGTACACTTGGCAGTATGGATCTCTGCAGTACAGATTTGTGGATAGACTGGGGTGTTTCACAACCTTGAAGAAGAGAGTATCAGATAAGGACTCGGAGATAGGAGAGGTGCATAGATTGGATCGGGTTGAAAGTTCCAGCCAACCTGGGCAATGTGGGATCAAGCAGAATATAGGTGTGATGGAGCCAAGTACCTTACCTGTGAACATGTCTCTTGCCTTCACATTAGGCTGTTATGACCCTACCAGTGAAAGCCCAAACCAGCCCAGTGCAGGTGCAGCGACCAGGAGCTTCTGTGACAGGACAGACGGGCATCACTGTGACAGGCCTCTCTGCAGCACCCAGTCCCACAGTAAAGCCGGTAACCAGCTCTCCTGGCAGCTCTGCACCAAGCTCCTCCTCTACCACCACGGTCATCCAGAATATAGCTGGCCAGAACATCATCAAGCAGGTGAGAAGTGCATGGTAGAGGAGTGCTCTCTGTAAGCTATCTATTTCCTGTTTATTGTGGCCTGGCAAAGGGCTGGGGTACCCAGATGTGAACAGCTAGTGCAAAATGCATTGAGTTCCTTACTGTTTGAGTTTATTGCCCACACAAATTCAGGCAGTTTATGGTTTGCCATAGTTGGGTGCCATTTGCAAATGTCAGTGCCTCATTTGCAATGCAGTTGGGCATGTTTACAAGTAAGATTAGTTTGTATGGAATGTGCAGGCACCACATGGAAATTCTGATCCTTTGATTCACAAGCCCAGAATGTCGGCTGTTCTCTCCCCTCAACTCAGTTGCAAGGAGACTGGCTCCAACCATCTGTGTCTCTTGTGGTGGTGGAAAGGGCCATCTAATGAGTGAGTTGTCAAAACCTTTTCCAGCATCACATCAGGCTCTAGCATCTTGTTGGACCGTTGATCCAATTCTGAGAGGAAGAGAGAAGAACACCATCTGCTGAAAGACAACATTTTTTTTGCATTTGGCTGTTTTGGGGCATTTGCTGGTTTGATATAATTATGGTACTTTGTTTTTTAGGTGGCTATTACGGGGCAGCTAGGCATGAAGACCCAGGCTGGAAGTGGCATCCCACTCACAGCTACTAACTTTCGGATCCAAGGCAAGGATGTGCTGCGCCTGCCTCCCTCCTCCATCACCACCGATGCCAAAGGACAGACTGTGCTGCGTATCACTCCAGACATGATGGCTACTCTTGCCAAGTCCCAAGTCACTACAGTCAAACTGACTCAGGATCTCTTCACAGCTGCTACTGGAACCAGTGCTACCGGGAAGGGCATCTCTGCAACTTTGCACGTGACATCCAATCCTGTGCAGTCTGCTGATACCCCAGCTAAGACTAGTCCAGCCAGTTCAGCTTCTCCCAGCCCAGCTGGCAGCACAGTGGTTAAAGTAACTCCTGACTTAAAGACTGCAGAGTCAACAAGCTCAGCTTTCAGACTGATGCCAGCTCTGGGCATGACTGTAGCAGATCAGAAGGGCAAAGCTATTACCACAGCAGCATCCACTGAGGCAAAGCCAGCTGCCACCATACGAATTGTGCAGGGGCTAGGGGTTATGCCACCCAAACCTGGGCAGACCATAACTGTAGCCACTCATGCCAAGCCCTCTTCTTCCACAGTAAGCATGCCTGGCACAGTTCACACCTCAGCAGTCTCTTTACCAACTATGAGTGCCACAGTATCAAAAGCGGTTGCTGTGGCCTCTGGAACAGCTGGCACTCCCATAACCATTGGAACAGGGGCCTCTGCTGTGAGGCAGGTGCCGGTGAGCACCACAGTGGTATCCACATCCCAGGCAGTAAGTTAATTGAGCTTTGTTTTTGTTTTTTTTGGAGGGGGGGAGCTCCATCCAGCCGTTCAGAAGGTGGCGGGGGGCAGCCCAGCCACAACCCAGCCTCATAAGGGAAGGGGGCATGGCATGGCCTGGCCCTGCAGAGGGCAATGGGGCATGGCTTGATCCCTGCATGGGGGAGGGTTTCATAGTTGTTAGGGGCTGGAAGGGACCTTACAGATCGAGTCCAGCCCCCCTGCACTTGGGCAGGAAAGACTGCTGGGCATCAAGATTCTTTTTGAAGATTGCCAGGGTGGATGACAATACCACCTCTGGGGGGGAACCTGTTCCAAACCCTCAGCATTTGACTTGTAAAGAGATTTTTCCTTATGTTAAAGAAGTTTGTGACCTGCCCTCAACTGGCCCTGTGAGGGAGGGGGCATGTGACCTGGCCTCAACTGACCCTGTGAGGGAGGAGGAAAGGGGGTCATGGCTTGACTTGTGGGAGGGGGTGGGGAAAGGGGCATGGCCCAGCCCCAACTTGTCCCTGTCCAGTGGGCAGGGAGAGGGGAGGAACAGGCTGTGGCCCCGATTCAGATATTGGGGGGGAAAGGAGGGCATGACCCAGCCTCATAAGGAGAGGCGGGCACAGCTTGGCTGCTCAAGGGGAAAGGGGGGGCTCTGCAAATACGACCCACAGTTTTTGGCAGGATCACTGTAACCTCCAAAGCACTGGTGAAGTCTTTTCTTCTTTTAAGCTTGTTTCACCGATAGCACTATAGCAGTGGCTAAAATTCCTGCATCTTGCAGTTCATTGTTTTTGCTCCAAAATAAGAATCTCTTGAACACTTATTTCTGTGTATGGGGAAGTTCTTGTTGCCTGCGTGACAAGGCAGTTTAGTAAAATGAATACTGTAATTTTCAAGTTTTATGCACAGCCTTTGTAACCTAAAACTGCATCTTGGAGGTTAGATTAGTGGCCTGTTTCTAGTTTTAGACTTGCGTGCTTTGAAATATGGGAGCTAAAATTAAGTAACCATCTTTCCCTGAGAAATACTGCTATAAGAAGGAGATGGTGATGTAGGGTGGATGGGGGAGTGAAATTTTGATGAGCCAGAAATGGTACAAAAATTTTATCAGCCAATGTAGTAATTGTCATTGGTTGCAGAACTGGGTATAGAAATAAGCAAATGTGATGCTTGTGCATTGTCAAGCTTGTTCCCTACATAAAAAGCTCTCCACTGCTACTAAAATAATTGAATATGCTTCTGCTTTCCCTAGGGTAAACTGCCAGCCCGAATCACAGTGCCACTATCAGTGATCAGCCAGCCAGTGAAAGGCAAGAGTGTGGTGACTGCTCCCATCATCAAGGGCAACCTTGGAGCCAAGTGAGTATTGTACAGAGAATGAAAAAACCTGCATGGCTTCCAGTGAGCAATGCTTCTTGCACTAAGTGATCTGAGAGGGGCAGTAGAGGATCAGGTTCATGTGTCTGTCTTACATGATCGGAAAAGGACCCTTGTTCAGTGCACTAGTCTGATAACTTATCTAATACCATTCATAATCACACCTTGTTTGCGCTGAGAAACTACTGCAGAAGTAGCTGTTTCAGTGTATGTTCAGTAACGTTCTAGTAATAGGCCATTGGTCCTACTAGTGTTGCTGTAGTTAACACCTCCAGACAGAGATTTCTACATGGTGGATTGCAGTTTGCATGCAGTAGGATGACATGTAAGCAATCCATGCCTGTGCAGCCTTCCTAGAGATGTGCTGTGGTGGATGACCATGACTGCCACCAGTGTAGCAGTCACATGACTACATGCAGTTTTTACGGCTGGAGTACATGGTCAATTTTTACATAACCTCTAGTCACTCAGTATCAGACCTTGCAGTCAAATGGGGAAAAATATTCGTACTAAACTAGCATCTAATGTACTAGCTAAGTACAGGTTACAGTTATATCACTTAAAATCTCTTTTGCACAATAACCTGAGTTCAGCAGAAGGTCTGAGCAACACTTTAGTGTCACAGTATTTATAAATACTGTGTAATGAGGCCATATCAGAATCCTGGACCCAGGTAGCTGGTCCCAGTCAGGAGATCAGGGCAAGTCATCCCCTGAACAAGTGCTACTTGCAGGAAGCCCAGAGTTGCTGAGCTCTGGTCCCAGCTGGGCCAAGTGAATCAGTTGAGGCAGCCAGTCCCCTGAAGCTCCAGGCAGCAAACGTTACCCACTGCAGCCCTAAAAGTTAGTCTCAGCCTGCAGTATCCTTGTCCTAGCAAAGGTGAAAGTTCTTGTTCCAGACCTATGTGCGTCCTTGCTGATCCTTCTAGTTCCAACTCCTCAGTCTGACTCTGGCTTCTGATTTTAATAAGACCCTTGGCCTTGCCTGATTCTGGTTCTCACTCTTGATTCTGGTTTGACCTTCAGCTCTGGCGTTTGGCTTCTGATCTTGGTTAACCTTTGTCTTACTCTGTCTCCTGCTATGGCTTCTGACCTCTGCCTGTTTTGACTTGGGCTAAACCCAAATCCATTTCTGATGCCAGACCCCTTCATATCCCCCACTCCTTGGGAAACTGATCTGGACTGTTTGTATGCTTCATGTGTCTAACTAGTAGGCAAGACTGCCCAAATCAGAGTTCCCTAACATACCTGTCCATACAAGTCTTAGGCTGAGTGTTACTGAGTTTGGGAGATCCTGCCCCATTGCCTCACTACTGATTTCTTAACTGCTTTGTTTTCTCAGCATTAGTGGACTGGGTAGGAACATCATCCTGACTACAATGCCAGCTGGGACCAAGCTGATTGCTGGGAACAAACCTGTGAGCTTTCTAACTGCACAGCAACTGCAACAGCTGCAACAACAAGGCCAGGCCACGCAGGTAAGGGCACATAGATGAACTGTTTTTTTTCTGATGTAGCATCTCCATGAGGGTGTCTCACCTGATATGGGAGGTTCTGTGGAAACTTATAGTGTTCACTCTGTGAATGCATGTATGTAGTGTCAGCACTTAGCATGTCTGACGTCTCATCCCATTCCTTTCCGTTGTATATTCTGTCCAGATAGTTGTTTTAAATATTCACGAACTGAGTTGTTCAATAATGAGAGGGAAAAAAAGCAGGAATAATATTAGCAGGTGAACAGTCAACATGCAGGCCTTCTTTTCTTCCTTTGTTCTCAGTAGAGGCTGAAGAGATTGCCTCTTTTACCTTATACTGCTGTAGCACCTACTTCTAGACACCTGCAGTTCTAACTCCCCCTCCTTCCTGGGGTAAATCAACTTTATGCACGAATACCCCCACCCATGAATTGGGTCTGATGCTGTAGAATACTGTGCGAGCCTTTCCTAATGCTCCTGTGGAAATGTATAGTATTTTACCAGATTTCTTATTCCAGAAAATCTGGGAAGGCAACAGATCTGGGTTTTTGTTCAAATGTCAGTTGAGCCTTTTTCTTTGTAGTTTGTTTGGCTCACCCCCAGCATTCCCTCTAAGCTGCGCAGTGTGCGCAGGCGGACTTATACCACGCTGCCAGGCATGCCTGTGCAGCCGTACATGCCACACAGCTTAGAGGGAGCACTGCTCCCCACCCTCACCACATCATCCTGGACCATCTGTGGATGCAGTTATCTTGTGGGTGCCAGACTCTTCTCTGCTTCCAAAGATGCTCCCTGGAGATTGCCAGTGGCCTATCTCTGGAATTTGGGAAAGCCAGGCAGGTGCTCCCATGGCTTGAGGGTTCCACCCTCCACAGAAATTCCTGGCATGCTCAGAACCACACACCTCAAGCCCTGGTAGTGTTTGCCCAGGACAGCAGAAGAATGAGGTGAGCTCCAGCTGCCCACACTCTTCTGTCATAAAGTAA